GGGAATGCCTCATCATAAAAGTTTTATGAGTCCCGTACGTCACGTTTCCCATTTGTCGGAAGTCTGCTTTTATTACGCGGAGTGCGTAAATTGGCACAGTCCTGTTGTGTTATATGTCTCCATAGCGTGAGCCTCACGCCGTGAGGGAAAACACAAGGAATGGATAAACTCATATGGAATGGTCCGTTTTAAAGGACATGTGTGGAAAGTAATAGCGGGTAGTTGTCGCTTTCGGGCACACTCATCCATAATTTGTTAAGAATCTCAATACATTATGAATGAGTTACCACGGTAGGAGAAGATACAAAAACCTTAACTTGAGATTATTCGCCTCGTGCTGAGATATATCGAGACTCGATAATCCTAAGAAACACTATATAACAAGACTCTAACAAGACTATTTAGTCTCTTATATATATAAGAGACTAAGAAACACTCAGCGCATACTCGATAATCGAGTATGCGCTGAGTGTTTCTTCTCAGAGACCTTGCGGTGGCATTAAATGAATTTGAATTCGGAGTAAGTTACGAGCTGGGTAATGGTGTTGATAAATATCCCATACGAGCACATGAGTGTTAGTTGAAAATAATGATTTCAAGGTTAACTGCTCAAATCTTTTGCCTAGACTTTCCTCCAACTAGCTCATCATTTTGAAATTGAATAAATTTTGAAAATTTGAATCTGAATGTGAAGCAATCATGGAATTATCACTCAATCGTAAATATGGAAGGAGGTTCCAGCGTTTTTATAGACATTCACGAGCATGTGTATGCAGGCTCTTGTACACTCATCAAGGAAGATTGGCATCTACCGAGAAATGGAGTTGGATAGCTGAATTAGCTGCGAGGTAAGTCCACAATCAGATGTTTCTCTTGATCTTGAGATTTCCCTAAAATCTAAAATCATAATTTCGCCCTTGCATTTCGACCTTTAGACTTGTATAAAATCTACAATCATAATGTCTCCTTTGGATTCGTGCAATTTATGTCATTCCAAAAGATATCAAAATCATTAATTGGCCACATTATGTGACCCACATAATATGTGACTCACAGGCGGATTATTTTGACCTAATCTAGTGACTCACTATGTCCTGTTTCTCTTCACAGAAGAAAATCTATTGTGATTCTGGAATCCAAACTCGCTATGCTTGGATTGATGAATCGAACGAGTGGTCCGCGTACATTTCGTCGGAGCACTCTACTGGTATTGATGGTTGGCCTTGTACTCGCGATATAGTGCCGGGCCTATTCTTTTGCAATTTCTGTAAGGAACATCGGCCGCATTCTCGAAAGCTACTCAAGGATGCGCTCGATAACGCCCAGTCGATGGATAAATCGGGTTATGGTGGCAGCAAAGCGGTTGTTTCTGAATTTTTGGATAAGGCTAATGACATGTTTTGGGAAAGCTTTGACCCAGAGCTGTGCCCGCTGCCGAAATGCCCTTTCAACCATTCAGCGAACGTGGATAGCTTCTTCAAGAAGCAGGAGAGTGAAGGAAAGTCTGCGCGAGCTCGGTATTTCATGAACGTCGACAACGGCTATGACTTCAGCTCCTACAAGTCAGCTGAGTGCTCGGACATTGTTCATCAGGCTCCTACTACGGGTTCTCCTATCGATTGTCCAACAGGTTCCTCTGTCTTGGGTGATACCTTCAGAGTGGATACTGAGGATGGACTCAACCGTCTCTCATGGTCCGTTATGCAAGCTATGGTGAGTCCTATTCGTAGCTACAGCTCTAAGAAGGCTCCATGCCGCCGTATGTTCTGGGCGGAGCCCAGTGGGCTCCACATGCTTCTTTCGACCCCAAGGCTTTCGGTTATGAGCTTGTTCACTTACGAGGTGCGTACAGGCAACTCGAGGGTGAATTTCCTGGTATATTGGCTGAAGACAGGTCTCGGTTAGTCGTAGCACGTTATCTCCAGGTGGATTCTCTTGATCGAGAGCTCGATTCGTTCATTCGTAACCACGCTCCATGTGACAGACTATTAGCTGGAAGTTGGGTTTTTACCTCTGATATGACCCAAGGTAGTTCTGTGCATGGTTTAGAGCTGGGGAGGACGTATGGTGGGTCATCCAACTCTATGATTCACAACATCGCTGACTATTGGAGTTATTATGGCAGTGACGTGGCTTTTGCTGAGGTTGTTAACTTGTATGGTTTACGGCGCTGGGGTTCCTCCAGTTACGTTCTGAACAGCACCTATGTCAAGCTGTGTGCTCTACTCCCTCTAAGCACTCAAACCTCACCTGGTCTACGCCATAGTCTTTACCAGATCAAGTCCGGCCACCAGTCTAGCAAGCTTGAGGAGCGGATCGGGGACACTTTCGAGTTGATATGTACTCTCGCTTTGCTCTACAATCAAACTAAATTATTTAGTTTGGTTATTCAAGCCCTGGTGAAGATCAGTGTCGTAGAGTTCTACGATCAGTATGGAGATCCGTGTTTCGTCGACGATCCGTTCGTCGATGCTGCTTTTGGAGGCAAGAGGGACGTTGCCCGATCATCGGGCTGCATATTGCGACCAGCTGTTGCGTCTACAGCATTTTCTTATCGCAGTTCTTCTGATCAGCGCGGTATAGATGAATATCTGCAGGGTTTGGCTGATCAATGTATGCCATATGGCTGGCAGCGAGCTTCAGCTCTCGGTAAACGTGCGAAGAGTGCATATATCGATCTGTCTTGGGACGCCTTTGGCCACCCTGATGTGTATGTTTCATCCGACCTCAAGGTTTTCTCTCATGCACGGTGCTGGATCCGATATGTCGATGGGTCACGCCCGAGCTTGATGGAGGGCCGAAGCAGTCATGGACTCCGACAAGCACATGGCGCTATTCGTATGAAGCGATCCATGGCTCGATTCTTGGCTTCTTCT